GCTTCTGGGCTAGATGCTGACCGCGGTTGCCTTACACAGTCTGGTGTTTCTGCTGGCCTTGCCGTTCCTCAAGTTCCGGAGTTGACCTCCCAGTCGTCGCTGGAGACCTCAGGCATCATCTCAGCCTCTGTCAGCACCTCCCCCTCCTCAGCCTCCATCACATCTGTGGCAGCCTCGGACTCACACGAGCGCCGTGTCTCGGGGTCTGGAACCACGCTCCTCGCTGCCGCTCTCCATGCAGCAGGTGGGCGCTGCTGCCTCAACCCCATCAGCCTGGACATGAAGATCGGCACCATGTCCAAGAGCATCCTGCTGAACTGGGCACGTGGGGCGTCCCTTTGGTCTCCTGACTCAGACGTCTCTGAGTACTGACCTCACTGGAACAGCTAGCTACTCTGACAAGAAGCCACCTCTGGACCTTCCAGGCAGCATGCCTAGGCCTGGAAGGATGCAGACGATCACCACGGCCCCCACTCTACACAGGAGGAAACTGCGGCAGCCTCCTCACCTCCGGCTGGTGCTTGCTTGGTGATCCATGCTTGGGTGGGCACAATAACATGCCCACCAAGCTCCTTCTAAATCTACGATGCTGTGTCTCTGGTAAGACTGCCCGGATTGTGTCCCCTGAACCCCCCAACCCGCAGTGTCCCCTGACTCCTTGCCCAATATCCAGAGAGCCCTGCGTGATCTGCTCTAGACATGCTCTCCAGTGTGCACCCCTCAGCCCACTCCAGCCTCTGTAGGGCCTTCGTCCCCCAGGGAGCCTGGCAGAATTTGCCCCTCAGAACCCCTGCCGTGCCTCCCTATGACCCCCATCCAGGATGGCCTCACCTCCAAGCCTGGGCTCAAAGGCTCCTTCCTCCAGCTCCTCTGTAAGCTCAGGCTTTGGGTCAGATTGAGCTGGGTTCAAACCCACAGCAGGGCCATGTCACAGCCCTGTGACTGGCAAGCTCCTGTGGGAACTCTTGGGACCTCAGTTTTCTACTTTGGAGATGGGGTCAGTGACTCCCACCTCAGGAGGATGGGTTGGGGTTGAAAGCAGGGAGATGAAGGTGCGTGAGTGCCGGATTTTGGGGAGAGGGGCTGCTGCCAGGAAGACAGGGGGAGGGGATGTAGAGGAGGAAAAGGCGGCCTGACCTCCTCCCTGCCACACGTGTCCCCATCACCCTCCCCTGACCCCCCCGCCATGCACTGAGATGAACACTGAAGTGGAACGTGGGGGCCAGGACAGCAGCAGGGGTATATTTCATTTCTCTCTAGTCCCCAGGTCTCCATGTCCACTCAGTCCAGCGGCCCTGCCTGGCGAGACTGGGGTTGGCCCCCGGCCTAAGAGGACGTGAGGGTCACTGAGCAGGCAGTGGAGATCGGGACACGGAGGACCAAGGCCACAGCCAGCCCCTCGGGGTTGCGCAGGCCCCCTGGCAGGTGGGGTCCCGCGCAGGCGCCGTCTGCTGGGCCGTGTGCGCCTGCGCAGGATCCACCTGCCTCCGACCCACCCCGCCCACCCAGAGTGCACCTGCGCCACGTCCACCCAAAAGGTGGGAGCCGACCTGCCACACCGAGCCACGCTAATGAAGTTCCTCCTCCAAGCCCTCATGGGACAGTCGGCAAACTGAGGGCAGGAGAGGCAGGGACTGGCCTGGGACCCACCAGCTGAGCAGAGGCTAGAGGAACAGGGAGGGTTCCAGCTTCCGAGGCCAAGCTTCACCTCGCTGCGGGTTTCCTTTGGGAACGAGGGCTCCTAAGATCTGGGGGACCCCTGCGCACACTCCCATGTGGGGCCCTTTCCTCTGGTCATCCTCGCGCGGTCACACGTACGCACAAGGCTCTCTGCGTGGGCGCGCACACACACACACTCACACACACACAAACACACACACACACACACAAAATCCCCAGGGGCGTCCAAGGTGTCGTGGACCCTGGAGGGGACAAGGGGGAAAGAAGGAGGAGGTTCGAGGCAGCTGGGCCGTGGGCTCTGGGCATTGTCTCCTGGGAACATGCCCGGGGCCGTAGCATGGGGCTCGGGGGAGACATGCCAGGCTGATGGCCAGGGCGGCCCCAAGATGCCCATGGGCTGTCACAGGCACCCACATTCTAGAGACAGCCCCCTTCCTACTCAGTTCACTTGGCTGGAGATGCTGCAATCCTGCTGTATCCCGATGTCCCCAGGATGTGTTCTCAGCAAAGCCGACAGTGAGAGCCGTTGCCTACACTGCAGACCTGGGGTCAGGTCCCACCCCTGACACCTCTGGCCATTTGCCTGGAGGGGCCCAAAGGGAACACAGGGAGGCCCAGAGCCAGCCAGGCCAGCCAGACACAGCTGTGATCCGACCGTGCAGCCCAGCGCCCCTGTGTGTGTGTGTGTGTGTGTGCAGAGGATTCGGGCAGGGTAGCCCACCCTGAGCAGGAGCAGGGTGATGAGGGGCCAGATGCCTGGTGGGTGGATCATGTTGACACCCCGGGTCAAGGCTGGCTGGGTGGGACGGGCTGTGCTGGGGCGGCCTCCTTCTCCCCAGGGTTGAAACGGAGCCCTGTCGATACATGTCACTGCAGCCCGGGCGCAGGGCTGTGCCCACACGGGGCTGTGTCTGATCTGGAGGCAGCAGTGGGGCTGGGCAGGAGGACGGTGAGGACGGCCGGGCAGGGCTGTGATGCCTCCGGGCCGGGCACCGCTCACTGTCTTCGCAGAGCCCCATGGAAGAAATTGGGGACAAGCTGGTCAACAAGAGCGTCGCTCTACGGCTCCCCAGCGTGGGGCCCGTGCACCAGGCAGTCGCTAAGGACTGGTGCGGGCTCAGGGGGAGTGTGGGGACGAGGGAGCTCCAGGACCGGGCTTGGGAATGGCCGGGAGGGTCTCCTGCCCCGACGCCATCCGGGACACTGACGACCCGAGGTGCCACGACGGCTGTGCCCCTTACGTGGCCATGATCTCAAACCAAGGGGTCTGGGCTGCTCTCGTCACAAACACACACACAGACACACACGCCAAACACACACACACACCCAGTCCTTCGAACACACACACACACACACACCTGGTCCTTCACACACAGACACACACACCCGGTCCAGCCCCAGCCTTAGCCAGGTACAAAATCACCCTTCACATACGTGGAAGATGATCCGAACCAATTTGGATTTTCTGTTGCACTTCGGGACACGGACAGGAATAGTTTTGCAGTTTCTGTGTTGTGAATTGTCCCTCCTTTATCCACAGATCAGCGCCACCGTGAACCTGAGTGGGCCCTGCCGCTGGGGGCGAGCCAGAGGCTGTGGGCGGTCCGTGCTGACAGCCTGAGGAAGCTGGTGGAGCCGGGCCAGGCCCTCTCCTGTGGCCCCTCTCGCGGAGCACCTCCCAGAGGAACGACTCCCCAGCCCTTCCCACACCTGCTGCTCACCAAGGTGAGCAGGGCCCCCCGTCCCACCCGGAGTCTCCCCCTCACCTGCGGGCTGTGTGTCTCGGGCCTGGCACGTCACCTCTCCGAACCTCAGGTGTCTCCTGGGGACCCTGCGTGCCATGAGGCCAGGCCCCACACACGGGGTTGCCGTCGGGCCTGTTGGGACCGCTCCCCGACCCTATGGCCGGCCCACGGGGAGGGTGGCCTTGGGCTAAGGCTGGTCCTCTCCAACGTGAAGGAACTCTCTGCCCCAAGCCTCGGTGTCCTGGGTCCCGGGCAAAGCCGCATTCCTGGCTGTGAGGAGGTTTCAGATTCCCTCTGGGGCTCCCATCCTGGGTGGAGCCAGAGCAGGGATCCCTGGGGGCTGGCAGAGGGGCCCCAGAGCCACTCAGACATCTGAAAGGTGCTGGCTGGGCTTCATCGACTCCACAAATGGACAGGAAGCCCCTTCTAGACATTTTCCATACTTCAGGGAACAGGGCGGACAAATGTTCCTGCCCTGTGGGCCTCTTTCTAGGTGGGGGTCCGCCGCTAAGCCTAGACGACAAAGCAGAGATGGGCACACGACGTTCCTTGGGATGCCCTGCCGGCCTCCTCTACATACGGATCCCTCTGCTCTCATTGTCTAAAGGATGACGGGCCCTAGGACGAAGAAGAGCCCTTGTCTTCGAGGTGGTGAGGGAACGCGGGGGACCGGTCAGGTGCGGAGCCTTGGGTCTCGTGCACACCTGCCGCAGGGCTGGGTCATGGTACAGGAGCTGTGGGCAGGTCGTCTGTGCACACCTGGCCATGACACACCTGGCTGGCCCTCTCGGTGGGGAGGCCTGCGTGCCTGGTGCACCTGTCCCCCACCTACCCCTGGAGGAGCAGCCACGTTCAAGCCTTTCCATGTCCGACCCTCAGGGACAGTTGGGAACCTGGGTCAAGAGAGGCAGGGACTGGCCCAGGACAACTGAGGGGTGCAGAGTCCAAGGAGCTGCTCTCCAGTCCTAGGCCAGTCCCAACCCTCCCATGAGGTTTGCTTTGGGGGTGACAGACCCTCAGATCCTCGGGAAGAGCTACCCACCCCGTCCCATGTGGGGACATGACCTTGGCATCCCCAGGCACGTAGAGGCACGTGCACCTGCACACCCACCCCCCCCACACACCCACACCCACACACACACCACTCTGACTGCCCAGCTGGGGGTCAGAAGGGGAGGACACCCTGGGAGTGAGGTGGGTGACAGGGGGGAAAGAAGAAACAGGTTGCAGAAAGCTGGGCCATGGGGCAGGGCATCAGGACTCCTGGCAAGGACACAGATCCATAGCATGGGGAGGTGAGACAGGCCAGGCTGAGGGTCAGGGGTCCGCAACGGGCCCAGGGCGGTTGCCAGGGCACTGGGAGAGGACAGGCTCTGGGTTCCGGTGTCCATCACCAGCCTGGGCACTTGGAAGCAGGAAGAGATACCCACCCCCAAGTCCAGAGGGGCTCCAGCACAAAGGCCTCAGCTTACTCTTCTGTCACTTGGGCTGTAGAGATGCAGTGTCCCTAGGGTCCCACAGGCTTGTGGGAGAGCCTGTTGGCCTTGGATCTCCATCTCCGACGCACTGTGCTCCCAGTCCTTGGAAAATGCTTTGTACTCCCTCGAGGTCCTTCGGCGCAGGGGACAGACTGGGGACTTGGGGGGCTGAGGACCTGGGAACGCAGAACGTGGCAGAGCACTGACCACTAGTCTGGGGACCAAGGCCAAGACCCTCCTTGTTGCAGCCTCCGGGTCTCCATTTGGACGAGGTTCCAGATTCACTGCTCTGGTCCGGGTGACAAGGCCTTAGGAAGGAACGGAGCACCGGGACAGAAGAGGGAACCACGGACAAGGGAGGCTTCTGAGGTTTCTCACATAACCCCTGGAGTCCACAGATCCTGCTCCTGTGAGAGACACAGAGACAGAGACAGAAACAGAGAAGGAGACAGAGAATGAACACACAACAGAGGGAACCAGAAGAAGTCACAGACTTTCCTCCATCAGCTTGGAAATGACATCCCAGCATTTGGCCCCATTCTCTTCCTGAGAGCGCGGTCACACAGGCCATCCACCCCGGAGGGGAGGGGATTCCACAGGGACGTGTGAACAGGACGCGGGAATGCCCGGGAACCACTGTGGGGACTGCCCAGCACATGGGCGCAGACGAGGCCCCGGGGCCTGAGCCTAAACCTAATGGGAGCGCCTGGAAGTGTGCGTCACCAGGGGACAAGGTCGGAATCCGTTCATTGCAACCTTCTCACAGGGGCTGGGAACAGGCAAGAAGGGGGTGGCTTTGACCAGACCCCAGAGCAGACCCAGGCCCCTCTGAGCTGTGCTCCATGTCCCGCCCAGCCCCTGGCTCCTCCTTGCATTGCCAAGTGTGCCCCAGCCTCCTGTGATAGCAGGTCTGGAATGTATGTAGAGGTCCTACCCCTGATGGCGTCCCTAGGAGTAGAAGCCAGAACACCCCACTGTGCAGATGGGGAGCCTGGGGAGGCCCTGAGTGGCACAGGGTCTGTCCAGGGTCACAGCCCTGGGCACGCACAGGATCCCAGTCTGAAGCCAGCTCTGTGTCCTCACAGCGGGGACACCGGCTGCACCGAGGCCTTGGGAAGGCTGTGGGGGGGCTGTGAGGGAGTCACTGTATGGATGGGGCATGGGGGGAGGGGGAGCATTGAGCAGCTGTGGGAGGGGGCCCTCGGGGGCGGGGGTCTTGTGTGAGGAGGAAGTTGGTTAAGGGGACCCCAGGCAGTGGTGACCTCACTTCCCTGACAACAGAGTCCAACAGAATTTGGAACCCAGGTAACAAAGGCACCCACATTCCAGAGACAGCCCCCTGCCCAGCTCATTTCATTGGAGATCATCCAACCATGAACATGTGGGCTTGTTGCCTCCCTAAGTCTGGATGCTGCAGGCTGAAGAAAGCCCGCCCTGCAAACGCTGGCCCCCGCTGGGGATGTCCGATCAGGGCTCCCCACCGCCTCTGGCCGTTTGGCCGGAAGGCCCGAAAGGTGACACCAGGAGGCCCAGAGCCGGCCACCCAGCCCCACAGGGTCTAATCCACCTGTGCAGCCCCAGGTCCCCTCCCCTCCGTGTGTGTGTGTGTGTGTGTGTGTGTGTGTGTGTGTGTGAATAGGGGTCATGTGGGGTGGGCCAACGCCATTCAAGAACAGGCTGATGAGGGGTCAGATAACCCGTGGGCAGGTCATGTTCAAGGTCAAGGCTGGCTGGGTGGGACGGGGTGTGGGGGCCTGTGAGCTTCTGCCCAGGGTTTCTCTCGATCGCCCTGCAGGGATGGGTCATTGTCCTGCGTGCAGGGCTGTGCACCCACAGGTGTGTGTCTGATCTGGGAGCAGCAGGGCGACTGGGCAGGGGACAGCGAGGTCGGCCGGGCAGGACTGGGATGCCTCCGGGCCGGCTACCCGTCCCTGTCTTTGCAGACCTCCGATGAGATCGGCACGAGGCTGGCGGACACCCACTCCATGTCCGGGATCCGGAGCGTGACCCCACAGGACTCCCCTGGAGCAGGTGCTGGGGATTGCGGGGAGAGGCCTCTGACACCACCCAGACCACTGTCCCTGGTGGTCATTTACTGCATTGTGCTCCAGGAGCCGGAGCCCACGGAGGCCGAGCCTGAGGCTGAGAAGCCCGGGGTGGGTGCCCGTGGGGGTGTGCGGAAGGGTGGGGGCTTGCCCCACAGGGAGGAGCCCCCAGAGCCTGGTGTGGAGCCTGGAGCAACGACTGGGCTCAGAGTGCCCAGCGGGTGGACTGCGGTCGGGGAGACGCCCCGGGGAGGGCTCCTTCCTGCCTGCGGCTTCTCTGGGAGGCCCTGGGCTGGGTTCTGTCTCCACGGAGAGCAGGCTCGGGCTGAGCTTTTCTCCTCTCACAGCTGCTCCAGCACCTGAGGAGCTAGAGCCGGTTCCAACTCCATCGGCTGATCTGGACGGAGGGGTGGTGGCTGCGACTTCAGCAGGAGACCAGAAGCCGGCAGGTGACCCAGCACCAGCCCACAGAGAGCCTGACGGGGGCCAGGAAGGGCATGCTGGACAACCTGCCTCCGGAGAGCCTGACCCTGTGCCTGCCCCTGTGCCTGCCAGAGCCGCCGCCCCTGTGCCTGCCCCGAACTGTGGCCCTGCTCCTGCCCCCGACCCAGCTCCTGCCCTGGATCCTGACCCATCCCTACCCCGGCCAGTGCCCCGGTTCTTGCCCCTGACCCAGATACCGCCCCGGGTCCTATACGTGCCAGTGCGGCAGACCCTGTCCCTCCCCTTGCACCTGCCCCCTCCCCTCCCCAGGCTTCTGCTCCTGTTCCGGCCCCTGCCCCAACTCCTGCCCCTTCCCCTGCCCCTGCCCCTGCTAGAGCCAATGTCCCTTCTCCTGACCCACCTCCTGCCCCTGCACCTGCCCCTTCCCTTGCCCCTGCCTGTGCTCCTATTCTTGCCCCTGACCCGGGTTCTGCCCCTGCCCCTGCCTGTGGTCCTGTTCCTGTCCCTGACCCACCTCCTGCCCCTGCACCTGCCCCTTCCCCTACCTGTGTTCCTGTTCTTGCCCCGGACCCAGCTCCTGCCGTGGATCCTGCCCCTTCTCCTGCCCCTGCCTTTATTCCTCTTCTTGCCCTTGACTCGGCTTCTGCCCCTGCAACTGTCCCTTCCCCAGCCCCTCCCTGTGCTCCTATCCTTCCCTCTGACGCAGCTCCTTCCCCTTTCCCTACCCGTTTCCCTGCCCCTGCGTGTGCGCCCCTTCCTGCCCCTGACCCACCCCCTGCCCCTGCACCTGTCCATTCCTCTGCCTGTGTCCCTGTTCCGGCCCCTGCCAGAGCCGATGCCCCTTCCCCTGCCTGCGTCCCTGTTCCTGCCCCTGCCCCTGCCAGAGCTGATGCCCGTTCCCCTGCCTGCGTCCCTGTTCCGGCCCCTGCCCCTGCCAGAGCCAATGCCCCTTCCCCTGCCTGCGTCCCTGTTCCTGCCCCTGCCAGAGCCGATGCCCCTTCCCCTGCCTGCGTCCTTGTTCCTGCCCCTGCCCCTGCCAGAGCCAATGCCCCTTCCCCTGCCAGTGTCCCTGTTCATGCCCCTGCCAGAGCCAATGCCCCTTCACCTGCCTGCGTCCCAGTTCCTGCCCCTGCCCCTGCCAGAGCCGATGCCCCTTCCCTTGCCAGTGTCCCTGTTCCTGCCCCTGCCCCTGCCAGAGATGATGCCCCTTCCCCTGCCTGTGTCCCTGTTTCTGCCCCTGCCAGAGCCAATGCCGCTTCCCGTGCCGGTGTCCCTGTTCCTGCCCCTGCCCCTGCCAGAGCCGATGCCCCTTCCCCTGCTTTCCAGGGCCGCTGCCCCTTCCCCTGGCCCTGCCTGTGCTCCTCTACTTGCCCCTGACCCAGCTCTTACCGTGGATCCTGCCCCTGGCCCTGCTCTTGCGTCTGGCCCTGCTCTTGCATCTGGCCCTGCCCCTCCTCCTGCTCCTGCAGGGCTCCCAGAACCACATCCAGAGCCCACATCCTCACGGGGAGAGCTCCTTGTACCATTACCCTTAGCTCCATCACCCGACCCCGATGCCCCGCCAGATTGTTTCATCCCCTCCCCCTATGTTCTTTCTCTCCAGTTCGTATTAACTGTTCTATTCTCTTTCCATGTCCTATATGCTGTTTATTATTTATTTTAAATAAAATTCATTGTTTTCAGTTGAACAAGTCCTGAGCATCAAGTACATTCCCAACGCTGGGCCACCACACCACAGAACATGGCTGTGGAATATCTGCTTCCCAAAAGGAGTCCCCGAACCACAAGGCCTCCCTGGAAACCCCTAAGCTGCTTCCTCTCTCTGTTCCTTTACCTGTTCAGGATGTTTCCTGTACGTGGAATCCCACAGTATGGGCCTCTGTGTCTGCCCCCCTATTTTCAAAGGGGACTCCTTCTTTTCTGTGTTGACTTGACATAGAATTTCCCTTATTGGATGTTGAAATCCCCGATGGATTACAGATGAGATGGAACCAGAGAGCCCCCTTTGGTAAATATGGACACAATCTCGGGGCGGAGACCCCTGTTCCTGCTGGGACACCTCAGCCTGACCCCAGACAGGAAAGGGCTGGTTCCTCCTGTGACCCACAGAGAAACCAGGGAAATGCAGAAAGCTGGAAGACACACCCCAAAGGGCCAAAGCATTGCTCACAACCCAAGGCCACAGAAAGGTTTCCCATGCCTCTGGTCCAAACCATGCTCCAAGTCACTGGGTTCCACAGGGACAGAGACGAAATGCATGCAAGTCCAAGTGGAGGGGGACAGGCATGGGGGGATTCAGAGATGCAGGAGCTCCCGGGGAAGGACTGTGGCAAAGGAAACCCTACGGAGGCAGCCCTGGTCACCCTCAGACTGGCAGGTGTCTAGTCTGGGGACCAGCAGCCCTGGTGAGAATGTGAGGAAACGGAGGTCCCTGGCAGAGAAGGGTGACGGGCACCCCTGTCTGGGAGAACAGTGAGCAGCACCCATCCCAGGCCACTAGTGCACCCATCACCTAGCGTGGGCAGCTCACTCCCTCCGTGTCGAAGGGAACACCGTGTCCATCAACCTCTCTTTGCAACAGAATCCATAAAGTGGAGTTTCTGGGTCAACACGTATACAGTGTGGAAGGTACAAGCCTCAACTTCCAACATCCCAGGTCTGCTTGTCCACCTTGAGCCTTGTTTGGGAAGCAGGGGTGGGGACCCCTGGGGCTGTGACCTGTGGGAGGGGTGGGGAGGGGGAGCTCTGAGTGGAGTGACCAAGGTACCCGGGGTGACCTGCCCAGCAGGGACCCTCCCGCCCCCAGCCCCTCTCCTGACCTCGTGCACGATGCCGAGGGTGTGACGGTGAAGGTGCTGGCCCTTGGCTGGCGAGTTCCTTAGCTGGTGCTGGAGCTGCTCAAGCTCCAAACCGGGCTC